CAAACTTCAATGTAATAATCAGATTATTTTTAATACTAAATAATGTCATTACTAGGAGAATTTGTAGCTCTCCTGCTTAAAAGGAAGCATTCAAATTCTTTTTTTTTTTTTTTAAAGATTTTTATTTATTTATTTAACAGAGATAGCACAAGCAGGCAGAGCGGCAGACAGAGGGAGAGGGAGAAGCAGACTCCCCGCCGAGCAGGGAGCCTGATGCGGGGCTCGATCCCAGGACCCTGGGATCATGACCTGAGTCGAAGGCAGCTGCTTAACCGACTGAGGCACTCAGGCGCCCTGAAAGCATTCAAATTCTTAAGATCTGCCACAGTTACTAAAAACACAATGCTTCTTCAACCTAAATTTCTTTTAAAACAAACAGACTTTCAATCACACAAAGCTTTTCCTCTAGAACCTAGACTAAAATGTTACGAATTAAAAGAAAAAAGTACTGATAAAGTGGCTGGCTCATTCAAATAAATCAATTTGAAAGGATTATAGATTAAGTTGACAGCTTGAGTATTTTGAGAAAAATGGAAGGAGGCTGAGTTTTTTAAAAACTTTTAGAATGACAGTGTAAGAAATTCTGTGATACAGTTTTTAACAATATAAAGCAGAAATAAAATAGTGGCTTGTAATTCTTACACAGAGCATAAGGTAGTGCTATATTCTACCAATTCAGGTAAATTCATATAAAAGGAAAAAACTGTTAATTCATTTGTCATATATATACAAATTTTACTTATTTTCATTCACAGTGTATAAGGAAATGCTGAAAAGTACAAATTAAAAATAGTTGAGTTGAAAATTCTACTTATCAAAACATTTAAATGTATCAGTAAAGTTACATTTTTCTTGGAACACTGTAGAGAATGTAATTTGTTTTGACATACAATTCTATATTGTTATTAAAGTTTTAGGTGAGGTAGAATTAATCTAAGCAGTAAATCTAGCATAGACTTAGAGGAATTTATATGGATTGCCATCTAATTGACAAGTTGAATCGATCATCATTTTGAAAATATGAGGATCTTTGTGACAAAATTATTTGGAGTCTTCACAAAAATTTAGACAATCACTTCTACTTTAAAATGTTTATATTTGTATATATGTATATAAATGTTTATATTGTATATATGTTTGTATTGTATATATGTTTATATTTGTATTGTTATATACATAGACATATATAAAACAAATACCTTATACAACTATACCCAACATACGCATATGTTATATAACATTTTGTTTTATACAATACATATACACATTTTTAAAACACATTCTAGGAGTCTGAATATAGGAAGTATTGCATCTCTAGAGTTTACAACTCATGGTTTGGGCTTTCTCAAATTCTAGTCATGACTGGCAATCAAAGCTATTCTTCTCTCAAAGAAAAATTCCTAACATTCCTTGCACATTACAAAACCTAAGCAAACAGGACTCAAGATTAAAAACAAATAGTGATAAAGTACCTACATGTGATCTATAGAAAGGGTCTTATTTTCCTCCTGTAATTCATGTCCTTTACCAATTGTGTGAATTTGCAGTTTAAAGTCTGATTTATGCATACCCCATTTCAACAATTTTCTAACTTCTGAAAAGAACTTGCTCTGTCCCAATTCCATATTTCTCCACTCCACATGAAATTGAGGTACAAAACTTGTTTAAAATAGATTTAAAGTATTTGAAGAAAATTAATTTAACAGTTCTTCTAGTAACTTTTTCTATCAATCTCAATTAAAACAAATCACACTTATGCTAAGCAAAATAAGTCAATAAGAGAAAGACAATTATAGAATTTCACTCATATGTGGAATTTAAGAAACAAAACAGAGAAGCATAGGGGAAGGGAGGGAAAAATAAAACAAGATGAAATCAGAGAGGGACACAAACTGTAAGAGACTCTTAACCATAGGAAACAAACAGGATTGCTGGGGTGGGGGATGGGGTAACTGGGTGACAGACATTAAGGAGGGCATGGGATGTAATGAGAACTGGGTGTTATAGAAAACTGATGAATCACTGAACTCTACCTCTGAAACTAATAATACACTATATGTTAATTAATTGAATTTAAATTAAAAAAATAAAAAATTTAACTAAAAAAATAAATCACACAATAACTATATTTATAACACGTACTTCTCAGAGTATTTATAAAACTTCTGAAATTTATTTTAAAAATTCAAAGTAAAATGCAAACAACTGAATCCTGCTGAATATCAGAATCTTTAAAATTCACAGATTTTTTTTTAGAAAAATCATTTCAGCTCATCTAAGAAATATCAGACAGTAAACAATAGTGGGCAGTATCAGGATCAGAAAGAGGATACAAAAGGTCAGGTAAGGGGCTTGTGGGTGGCTCAGTCGGTTAAGCATCTGCCTTAGGGTCAGGGCATGATCCCAGAGTCCTGGGATCGAGCCCCACATCGGGCTCCCCGCTTAGCAGGGAGCCTGCTTCTCCCTCTCCTGTTCCCCCTGCCTGTGCTCTCTCTCTCTCTGTGTCAAATAAATAAATAAAATCTTTAAAAAATAAAAAGTCAGGTAAATAATATGAAGACTATGAAGTATTTTCAAAACACATTAATTTTATATGAAAATCACAGATTTTAAAAGTTGACAGTATGCCATCTTCTTTTTTTTTTTTAAAGATTTTATTTATTTATTTGAGAGAGAGTCAGGGGCAGAGACAGAGGGAGAGGGACAAGCAGAATCCCTGATAAGCAGGGAGCCTGACACAGGGCTCAATCCCAGGACCCCAGGATCATGCATGACCTGAGCCAAAGGCAAACGCTTAACCAACTGAGCCACCCAGGTGCCCCAGTAGCATAAGTTCTTAAACTATACTTTCATCATGTTATTCCCATATAAATACCTATAGTCATTTCTTAGTTCTAGAATATTAATAACAGTATTATTTATTAAAGTGATTACTATGTTCCTGGCACTGTGCTAAATGTTTAATACATGTGAGATGATTTAAATCTTTCAAAAACACACTAAATATAATTATTTTAAATTTATAGATAAGGAAACTGAGACTCAGAAGAGCTGCTGACTAACTTACCAGTGACAAAGCTAAAATTCAAGGACAGGCCTATCTCTATTCAAAGCTCTTTTTTTTTTTTTTTTTTAAGATTTTATTTATTTGACACAGAGAGAGATAGTGAGAACAGGAACACAAGTAGGGGGAGTGGGAGAGGGAGAAGCAGGCTCCCTGCTCAGCAGGGAGCCCGATGTGGTACTCGATTCCAGGACCCTGGGATCATGACCCGAGCCGAAGGCAGACGCGAAACGACTGAGCCACCCAGGCGCCCTTTATTCAAAGCTCTTAATCAGTACCTAAACCAGTGCTTGGCACCGAGTTACCACTCAATAAATATTTGTTGAATAAATGAGTGAATAAATGAAATACTATGCTGTACTACCTTGGTATATTAATAGTCAAGTACATTTTTTTATTTTTTAATATAATACCCATATTTTATACTAAGCAAAATAGTTGGCATATATTACCTTTTTAATAAATATTTTTTGAGTTAAACTACATTAAGAAATTGTATTAGTAAGGGCCCAATTAACAGGAGCATGACACTGAGAAAAAGTCTTATTATGGTTTTAATATAGTCCATATTAATATTTCTCTATACTGGTTAAAATTATTAATTTATAGTTTTGAGTTAGGTAAACTACAATTATTTAATAAGTTAATTTTATGAACATTTAATTTAGTTGCAAAATACAGGAATCTTCCATTGGTGGAAAATAATATTGGTGGAGCACTAAATATTGTGTGTGAACATGTTGGACATGCACATCAAATTGCTTAGGGTGTAGAGATTCCTAAACAGTCTGAACAAAATTCCTTGGAGATAATGTTTTAAAATTTTAATATAGAACAAATGTCACTCTCTAGCAATTTAAAGATATAAAGGACTTCAGAGTTCAATAACAAATACAGAGTTGTTATTTGAAACAAAAAGTAGCCCTTGAGAACAATCAGTTCAGTTTTCTAACAGCAGTTATAGTATGTGGTCATAACCATTTTTCCCCCTTTTACAGAGGTCTCTAGGTACACATTTTTAATGTATCCTAGCAGTTTCCAGTTAATGTTTTATATTTCTGTAGCTTTATTTTCTGTTGAAAGAAAACTAGTATAGGTTGAATCTAAAAAGGGAAAACAAAGGAAGAAGATCAATATTAACACTCCACAAATACTGACTTAGCAAAGTGACTTTGTTGTCTTTCTCTCATAGGAACTGATACTGAATGAATGATTTATTTATAAGAAATACCTATGGAAAATATTTGTTAAACAAAATTAAAAAATTGCTTGCAAAGTACATATTCAGATAATCAATTCTTCAAGTTCAAAAACTGAAAAGTCATCACTTTCAAACTAAAGATTTTTTAATACTATTCTTATCCATCATTTTTAGTTTAAAATTATTAAAACTGAAATGCAGTAATACAAAGAAAAATATCAGAAAATTACTTCACAAACTTTACTGGTTCTCTGTAGACACCAAATAGTTATTTATAAACTTAATGTCAAATATTTTTCGGGACGCCTGGGTGGCTCAGTTGGTTAAGCGTCTGCCTTCGGCTCAGGTCATGATCCCAGGGTCCTGGGACTGAGTCCCGCATCGGGCTCCCTGCTCTGTGGGGAGCCTGCTTCTCCCTCTGCCTCTGCTTCTCTCTCTCTCTGTCTCTCATGAATAAATAAATTTAAAAAATCTTAAAAAAAAATATATTTTTCAGAAAAAGTCTTACCTATTAATTTAAAATACTATACCTTTGGGGCACCTGGGTGGCTTAGCTGGCTAAGTGTCTCACTTCGGCACAGGTCATGATCTCAGGGTCCTGGGATCCAGCCCCACGTCATAAGGCTCTCCACTCGGCAGTGAGTCGGCTTGTCCCTCTGCCCCTCCCCCTCGTTCATGCTCTCTCTCAAATAAATAAATAAAATCTTAAAAAATAAATAATATAAAATACAATACCTTTATTGAGTTTGGCTCAGTTAACTTTGAGTTTCGGTTACTATTAGCACCCATGGTAATTGTGAAAGAAACAGATGTTTTGAACTTTCTAGTTGTTGCCAGTAAAGAACTGCTGGTATCACCTGTAACAAGTAATAGTTATTTGGTCTCACATTATGACAAGTTGTCGATACTAAGTCTGTTTCTAAATACAGTGTAGTATAAAAGGCATGTGTATTAATGTCTTTCTTTTTGTTCTTCCTATTGAAATAAAGTCAGAAGTTTCATATTTATCAGGCTTTAATGGTCCCTAATATATGGGCTACTAATAAGATTCTATATTTCAATATGTCACTCTTTACCCTGAAATTTTAGTTTTAACAAAATATAATGAGCATAGCCAAGTCAAGTTCCATAATAAAATTTTTACTTCAATAGATTTTTACAGCTGAGAGTCTAGAAACAGTAGCTAACAAAAGTTGGATTCTCATTTATCATTGATAAGCTAAGATAGAAGAAAAATTTATCTGAATATGATCCTTCATTCTTGATCAAGAAATCTTTAGTGTCAAAAGTAAATACCTTTATTTGAGAATGTTTCCTGATCAGTTTTTCTTATGATTCTAGGTGATGGTTTCGGTACTGGTGATGGGTCCCTTTCAGGGGATCCTTCAGTGTGGCTTCCAAACTGTTGATGCCTCAGTTTACTGTCAACCTCCAGTTTTTCTACAGTAGTTTTGAGACATTGCTCAATGGTTGTCACATATAATTTACAAAACTATAGGAAATAAAAAAAATAGTTCAGTGGGTAAGACATTCAATCATACATTTGGGAGGAGGCAAATTGCACATTAGTAGGCAAGGGATAGACTGACAGATGGAATATATTTCCTATTGAACTAGGTTACTCATTTTATTTTCTTGAAATCACATTGACCACCCTCAAGTGACCTAATGAAATGCAGCCATGATTCAATGAGGAGGTCATATTCTGAGAGAAAATAAAATGTTACACAAAGAGAGGTGATTTATTATTTTTTTATAAGACGTGTAGACTTGAGTTTGTTCTAAATAATTTTTAAGATTCTTCCATCCCAGAAAAGGTGTATTCCTGAGGAGAGTCTCTGTGTTTGAGTGTCTGTGTGTGTGAGCACATGCATGTATTTTACCTTTATTATTTCAAATGTAGTCATCAGATTACAATACTCTTTAGATTAAATTTCAAGTACGATTTGTACACAACATATTAAGTATATCACTGCCAATATTAAAAAGATATGCTCTTTTAAAAATTTTTCTCTTACACAGTATACAAATTTACATTAACATCATCTTATGTACCTTGATGTAGTCAAATTTGCCATCAGCATTTACATCTGCCAAACTTATTACGGCATTTACTTCTTCTCGAGTCATCTTCTCACCTCTCTGAAAAAACAAGATTTATTTATTTATTTTTAAAGATTTTATTTATTTATTTATTTGATAGAGAG